CTGTAGAGAAGTGTAACATTATGGTTTGTAAGATAACGTGGAAGACTCAAAACCATTTCCATTGCACTGTTAGTAAACAAGCCTCCTCCATTGTCGACTCTGTCTCTCAATTAAAGGCTTAACATAACTGCAGTGAGACTTAATGAAGAAGCAGAGCAGCAGATGTGATTGGCTGAGTTACATAACCACACCCACACATGTAAACAACACATTTAAATGGAGAAATACAAACTAACACAAGTCTATAATGACAATGGTACAAATTGCAGTTTTTACACCCACAATTAAGTTATTTTTACTTTAAAGGGCCCATATTATGCTATTTTCTGAGCTATGTTGTTTCCACTTCAAAAACTTGCAGAAAAGATTTGAGTTGTGTTTCATTCACACACGTTTAACACACAAACTCTGCATATTTAGCTCTTCAGTCAAACGGAAAACACTCTGTTCCACCTTGTGATGTCATGTGGTAATATAGGAAGTGCTCCACTGTGCTTTTAAACTCCACACACCTTCACTGGAATCATTTGGATAATTTCAACCCAAACTCTATTAAACAATCAATTTTGCATAATATAAGACCTTTAGGTTTATAGACACTTTACAAACAACTAAATCCAAGTCCATATATTATTTCTATGAGCATATTTACTGACAGGTGTACTGCACGTAACTTTTCTGATGGAGGGTCCGCCACCTGCTTTCCTCCATGGAGATATTACTGTTTTGTCTGGAATGTTTCACAGCATGGTATTAAACCTTTCTGTCATCATGGAGACTAAATCGAATGAAGCTACAGGTCAGATCTAGGGAGAGGCAAACCTGCTCACAGTCAGATCGCCTTTTTTTTTTAAATATAATTTTGTCATTTTGAAGGAATGGATACCTGGCACATTAATAACAAAATAGACATAACAAAATATAAGACAACAACAACAACAGTAAGTAAATTAAAAGAAGGGGTGGGCGTGTGGGGATGTTGTGTGTAGTACAGAGTTTCTCAGTACAAGTGTTTGCATGTGTGTATTTACATTTTAGGTTTGACAAATCAAATTTGCATTTATGTATTTTCTGTTCCCTTTGTTGTCTGTTTTATTTGTTGTTGTCTTTTGTTTGTTTGTTTTGTTTGTTTTAGAGGTGTAAAATCATCTGTAATTAAATAAATGTGAGACAGATCTGTTTAATGACCTACTGTGTAACATTTGAACCTGAGCAGTGACATTTCCACAGAAACAAAGAAGTTACACAGCGCATCTTTAAACTTATTCATCTTGTGAACTACAGGAGTTTTCATCGCTGTGATCGGAGTCACCTCTCCACAGATCTGGCCTGGGATGTGGTCCCTTGGCATCACATATACTATAATATAGAAGTCTGGGTATATCCTGTGTCATCCAGATAGAATCCATAGCAAAAGAAAAATTTATTCCACCGGCAATTTGACCAGAACTGAAGAAGCTGCTGGACCTTTCTTTTCCTACTGGTGGGTCTCAGAGGACATCACAACATTTTATAGACCAATCATTTTAATACAGGCGGGAGGCAGGTAAAAAAAACATAGTTAAAATGTTTAAATATGAAGTTGAATTGTTCTAGTTTTTCAATTGTTTAAAGTGTACTGACCCACAAAAACTCTTTGAGGAAGCCTGCTGTGTTTTGTTGCATTTGATTGGCAGATATAGGATATTTCTGCACTGCCATACTATAATTAATATAACCCTGCCCAAGCCTCTGTCCATTGTGGCATGTGTTTTTCCCTTCACTGACCCAAATTGAAAATAAAATAAGTGTTGCACCAGCTGAAAGCAAAACCACAATGACAAAAACTCACTGCTACTCAATCTATACAATGAAAATGTACATATGTGGTTGGGTCAATTGCCTTTCTTGCCCCCCTTGCAGCTCTGGGACCCCTTTCTGGTCTCTGTGGTCCTCCAGGTTGGTTCGTGTTGGATAGAGATGGGGCAAAAAGTGAAATTTTGGTGTTTTATGTGATTTTGAGTGGCTGGGACAGAGACAGAAAGGAATGTAGTTTGATTGTCAACAACCTCCCCAGGTTTGCAAACGTGATGATAGAAATGTGTGTAAAATTGACCAAACTTTGTGGAAAAACAACAATTTAAGTTAATGGGCAGGAACCAAAGTCGAGATTTTATGTAACATCTCTAAACACTCGCAATAAAACGATTTATAATACGTAAATATATGTTGTATGTTTTTTTTTTTTTACTCTGTCAGTGTTTTGACCAGTAATTGAAATAGCTGTAGGCCTCAACACAGACTGACTGAAAGGTTATAAGTCAAACTAAAATTTGTGTATAGATTACAAAATTAAGTCTATATATATATATCACATTTAGCCTAAATCTCAACATCAGTGCTCCACTGTTGCTGTTACTGTGACTAAATCTTTGGCAATGCTATCCTCTGCTGGACAAACATATGCATAGCTGCTACTCAATCTATACAATTAAAATGTACATTTGTGGTCAGATCAATTGATTTTCTTGTCCCCTTTTAAAGCTCTGGGACCCCTTTCCAGTCTCTGTGGTCCTCCAGGTTGGGTAGTGGCTGGGACAGAGACAGAAAGGAATGTAACCTAGTTTGATTGTCAACAACCTCCTGGGGTTTGTAAATGTGATGATAGAAATGTGTGTAAAATTGACCAAACTTTGAGGAAAAACAACAATTTAAGTTAATGGGCAGGAACCAAAGTCAAGATTTTATGAAACATCTCTAAACACTCGCAATAAAATGATTTATAATACTTTTTTTTTTTTTTTTTATTCTGTCAGTGTTTTGACCAATAATTGAAATAGCTGTAGGCCTCAACTCAGACTGATGAAAGGTTATAAGTCAAACTAACATTTGTATAAATATTGCAAAATTTATTCTATATATACACATTTAGCCTCAGCCTCACAATCAGTGCTCCACTGTTGCTGTTACTGTGACTGAATCTTTAGAAACGCTATCCTCTGCTGGACAAACATATGTACAACTGTTACTCAATCTATACAATAAAAATGTACATTTGTGGTTGGGTCAATTGTCTTTCTTCCCCCCTTGCAGCTCTGGGACCCCTTTCTGGTCTCTGTGGTCCTCCAGGTTGTGTAGTATTGAATAGAGATGGGACAAAAAGAGTAATTTGGTGACAGAAAGGAATGTAACCTAGTTTGATTGTCAACAACCTCCTGGGGTTTGCAAAGTCAAACTAGCATTTGTGTATAGATTACAAAATTAATTCTATATATACACCACATTTAGCCTCAGCCTCACCATCAGTGATAACATGCTCCTGGGGTTTGTAAATGTGATGACAGAAATGTGTGTAAAATTGACCAAACTTTGAGAAAAAAACAACAATTTAAGTTAATGGGCAGAAACCAAAATAGAGATTTTATGAAACATCTCTAAACACTCACAACAAAACGATTTATAATACATAAATACATGTTTGTGTTTTTGTTTTTTTACTCTGTCAGTGTTTTGACCAATAATTGAAATAGTGGTAGGCCTCAGACTGAAGGTTATAAGTCAAACTAACATTTGTATATAGATTGCAAAATTCATACTGTTTGGACATTTATGTAAAACATGGACTTCAATCTCACAATAAGTGTTCCAATGTTGATCTTACTGTGAATGAATCTTTAGCAATTCTGCCCTCCGCTGGACAAACATATGTATAGCTGCTTACAATACTAGACCTACCAACCTCCACCAACAATGGTTCAGACAGAATTTTTAGTGTGTTTACATTAGACTATTAGATTTATAGTGCAATAGCGTTAATTATATAATGATACAATTAAAAATATGTATAGAAATATATAGACCAGTGTTGTCACAATCTGAAAATTTCAAACTTGATTTCGATACTAAAGAATAGACTTGATATTCAGTACAGATTCCATCCATCCATTCATTTTCTTCTGCTTATCCGGGGCTGGGTCGTGGGAGCAGCAGTCTAAGCAGGGCCTCCCAGACTTCCTTCACCCAGACACATCCTCCAGCTCCTCCGGGGGAACCCGAGGCGTTCCCAGGCCAGCCGAGAGACATAGTCCCTCCAGTGTTCTCGGTCCTTCCCGTGGCCTCCTCCCGGTGGGACATGCCCGAAACACCTCCTGAGGGAGGCACCCAGGAGACATCCGGAACAGATACCCGAGCCACTTCAGCTGGCTCCTCTCGACGTGGAGGAGGAGAAGCTCTACTCCGAGCTCCTCCCGTGTGACTCCTCACCCTCTCTCTAAGGGAGTGCCCAGCCACCCTGCAAAGGAAACTCATTTCGAGCGCTTGTATCCACGATCTCGTCCTTTCAGTCATTACCCAAAGCTCATGACCATAGGCTACATTAGGCTTGCCCTCTCCGGGTGGGTGGAGAGTCCTTGCCTCAAATGGAGGAGTTCAAGTATCTCGGGGTCAATACAGATTTTGATATGCAATTTGACATGCAATTCTCTTTTTTAGACAATATTCTGATTTGTGAAAAAATGCATGGCACATTCAGATGGTCAGTGTCCAAAAGTTGTTTTTTTTTTTGTTTTTTTTTATGTTTCAGGGAAAAAAACCACAATATTCTAATTTAATTTTCAACACACAATAATAGTATTTGTTTATTCAACTATGTGGTCTTACATTGATCTTCAGTTTTGCCAGAGCTAAACAAGACAAGTCCAATTTTATCCCGTTTTTTTGTGATTTTTTTCTGTATTGATATTTTCTTAAATTGATCTAGTTTCGATAGTTTTAGTATTGAGATTATATGATAAGCATCTGATTTTGGAAGTGTGTAAATTTAAAATGTTCTTAAAAACTTAAAAATCCTAATACATGCAAAATCTATTATTACCATTTGTATTTTTCCTCTTTGTTATTATAATATTTTGTGATGTGTGAGCTACTGTGCAAATATTTTCCCTTGTAGATCAATAAGGTCAAAGTGTAATGTCTGATGCTGCTGACACCTGGTGAACAGGACAAAAAACTGCACATTAAAATACATCCTTTTTTTTTTATTTTTATACTCCAGATCTCCAGGTACATTGAACATGTGAGTGTCATTTTTCACTTTAAAAACCATTAACCGAGATGATCAGTGCACAGAGGTATTTGAGACAATAATTTCCTTTCAATTAGGCTAAAAAAACAAAAAAAACAAAACAATTGTAGCATCTTTAAAATGCAACGTGATATGATTAGAATAACAAAAATAGCATGAGCACATTTGGCAAGCATAATACTGAAACAATACATACATAAATTACAAAAACAGCATTATTCCTATGGCATAGAAAAGTTAATAAAATGCTAAATGCTAAATACCTTTTCTCTCTTTAAAGGTGAACTACAGTATGTAACTTTTCGACTGCGGCTCCATCACCTGCTTGTTTCTATGAATATGGCATTGCTCGGCCAGTACGGCATTAAACAGCTCTACCTTCAATTACAGGTGGTTTTATAGCACAAAAATACCAAGAAAAACTGAAATTCTGACTGTGAGCGGCGTCACGTCTCCACAGATCTGACCTGTAACTTGGTCTGTTTTGGTCTCTGTGAAAATAAAAAGCTTTAATACCATTCTGTGAAACATTCCAGACAAAGCAATAACATCTCCATGGAGAAAAGCATTAGATGGATCCTCTAAAAGAAATGTTACACAATGCACCTTTAAGGCCAGCATGATCCAAGACGTTTATCAAATATAAAAAAGAGCAAATATAAAGTTTTCTTTGCGATACATAACACACATTTAGGCAAAGCGTTTGGGTTTCCAAGTTTTTCAAAAACAGGTGGCTCTATTCATAACACTAAAAAGGCAGCGGTAGCTTTGGTAATAAATAGACTAAACTTGATGAACCCTTGCACAGTATTAAGTGTTTTAACATGTTTTTGTACTGATTTTGTTCATGTTTTATAAATATATTGTACACTTTATTGTAGGAAATGTATTAACATCCAACTAGCTCATAACTTACGTATTTGAAAGTGATAACTTCAGTGTTAAAGGTGCAATTTTTCAGGTGGAGGATCCTTCACCAGCTTCTCTCCATGGAGATATTGCCTGTAATGTTCCACAAAATATATACTTTTAACTCTACGGAGAAAGCTGGTGAGACCACAGGGCCACAAGTTACATGGATGGTTACGTTTAATGCCCTACTGGGACATTCCAGGCTAGGCAATAACATCTCCATGGAGACAAGTAGGCAGAGGACCCTCTACTAGAAAATTTGCACAGTGCACCTTTAATTAGTATTTGTTACACTTTTTTATGTCTTATTCTGCATAATTATATTCTGTTGCTAATTAGACATTAATAACACTTTCTTTTTAGTAAACTTATTATATAAGAGTGAGCCAAGCTATATTTATTCGGCATTAATTGGATAAAAAGGAAATTTCTTGTGGTACTAGCCCTTTACAACACATGCATAGGGCATGCACAAATGTCGTATTGTCTATTGATGGAAATTAATATAAGTTAAGCACTAAGTTATACGCAAATTATGAGATTGTTAGATGTTACATTTTACTGAATCAGTTCTAAAATTAAGTGTAACCACACATTTTGGGAATGGCCTGTTTCATCACCAAACCGAAACAACAGGGCCTGGGGCTAAGAAGAGACTTTACTCTTGTGTCTACAGAGTTCACCTGGCACCCTCTGGAGGCTGATGCCCCGGCTGCAGGACACAGAGGAGGGACACTTTTGTCCTGCTGGCTGCTATTCTCCTCAAACTGTCCTGACACTGGATCTGCTGACGGAGCCAGTTGAGCTACACTGAGACTTTTCTATTATTACTGTTGCCTGGGATCCAGAATACATTTATTCAATACTTCACAAAGACATGAGTCTGAGCACCAGTGGATCTCTCTGAGTTCAGAAGGCCGTGACTAACAGGTGGGTTAACCTGTCAGGGACAGGCATGTATAAAAATAAAAATGGCTACTTGCAGGGGGGAAAAAAAGAAAAAAAAAAAAACCACACACACACACACACACATATACATTAGCGATTTCTGCAGAACCAACGAGCAAAGCGCTAAACTCTATTAATGTATGAGAAATTTGATTTTGTTTTTAAATGAAAAAAATAAACAAATCACGATCATAACCAGACTTATATCCTTCTGTATAAAAAAAATACAGATATATTATTCTAGATTTGCCAGGCAACTATTACTGTATGTTCTGCTCAGTGTGCTGAATTGCCCCTTGGAGACAAATAAAGTAATTAAAATAAAGTACTGTTTCTTCGATAAAAGTTTTAGCTGCGTTTTGCTGGTTTGGCCGTGAGCTGCCGTTCTCGCTCCAGCTCCTTCTCCCTCTGCTGCTCCTTCTCCAAAAGGTCTTTCTGCTTTTGCTGCTGCAGTTTCAGAGCTTTTTTCTACAAACAAGAAATAGAAGAAATTAAAGAAGATGTACTTTATCTTATCTTATTTTAACAGCAGAAATTATCTAAAATGGCTTGATAACAGAGCAAGTCCTCTCCACTAAGTATCATAGCAAGTAGCGGATTTTCTTTACCGGTGTTCTGGTTATTAACATTTTTTTTATGGCTATGAGATATGTTTTACCCCTTTGTGTATATGACCCACAATCTGATTTTTTTTTAAGTACAGGGTGGTGGGTAAGGATTAGGGTAGGTGAAAACGGATATTTTTGGAATTTCAAATGCAAGACAATTCAATATTACTCAAACATGCATGAATCAAACTTTTGAATCTTACTTTTAGTTTTGTGGTCTTTTCGTGAAGCATGATCATCTCTTTCCTGATGTTCACGAGTTTGTTGTGATAGATTTTGGCCTCTGTGAACTGCAGCCACACATGTGAATAGTGTTTAGTTAGTGTAAGTGACTTACATTCACAAAGTTTTTATTGATTATTAATCCTTGAACATACCAGAGCATTGAGGTCCAGTAGAGCGTTACAGTCTCTAAACTTTGTCACTTCTTGGTCCAGTGTGTCCAATAAAATCACCTGGTTTTGTCTGTTTAGAGGACAAAGCAAGAATAAATGAAGTAATTCACCTAAAAGTCCTATATTAATCAAAACTGACTCTTGTGAGCTCTTACCCATGTTATTATGTTGTTACCTCATCAAAAACATACCCAAAGTTGTGTTTTGTTAATAAATATTTGAGTAACCCTTTGTTATGTTGGTCTACATCTTTAAAGCTCAAAATGTTCTGTTCCACCTTGTGATGTCATGAAGTGATAGTTTTTGAAGTTAACAGCTACTTTTTACCTTTTGTTGAGATTGGCAATTGCAGGGCTAAAATTATCCAAATTATTCTGTTGAAGGTGTATGGAGTTTAGAAACACAGTGGAGCACTTCCTATTATCATATGACATCACAAGGTGGAACAGAGTGTTTTCAGTTTGAGTGAAGAACTCAACCTAAATATGCAGGGTTTTTGTGTTGAACATGTGTGAATGAAACAAAAAACAACTTCAGGTATGTTTTTGATGAGGAAAAATTATAAAAGATCAGAAAATAACATAATATGGGCCATTTAAATGTCCAGAAATCACATAATAACCAGATTTTGCGGTGAATGTGAAGATAAGCAATGTGTTTGTATCCACTCTCCCTTTGCTAAAACTGATAAAATGATGAAACTCTCACGTGAGCTCTTGCAGGACCCTCTTGGAGTTCTGTAGATCAGGGAGGTAGTGAGACAGGAGCCCCTCTGTGAGTCTGTCCACGGTGCGTCTGTCCACACACAAACTGTCCTCGAGAACTGGGTCTGGAGGAGGCTCTGGATCCTGCTCTGACGGGAGATCTGATTAAATCAAAAAAGAAAATATATAGGTTATAATCTCAATCAAATCTGCAGACAAAGAAAACATCTGTTTTAAATGCAACACTAGTTATAATTGCTTTATAACAAGCTCTGGATCCTGCTTTGAGAGATTTGCAACAATAACATCAATAGAGCTTCAGACTGAACATCAAAAAACATCTGTTACCATGGAAATTCACCACCTTTATGGCTGTAGTGCAAAAGAGCATACTGCGTAAAGATAGAAACACAAAACCAGGATCTAATATAATCGAGATCCTTGAGTGCATGTAAAAAAGTAAACAAAAGTACAGTGGAACAACCAGATAAACTGCACTACTGGTAAATACTTCCATCATCTATAGCAGGCATGTCAAAACTATGGCCCTGGGGCTAAATGTGGCCCTCAGTTAATTTTTTCTTGGCCCCCAGGCTTCCGGGTAAAAAGGCCCATATTACCTTAAGCAGTAGGGCTGGGTATCATTAAGAAGTTACCGATATGATACATAGGCCATGATACGATAAATACAGTATTTCGATACAGTGAGTTTTCGAGTCAATACAATTTGATACGATATATTCCAAATTGATTTGATATGGTTCAATAAAAAATAAAGACTAAATCATGGCTGTGATACTAAAAGTCTTTGTTAAACCACTTCTTGTGCAAAGTTAATATGAAACATACCAATTTTAATCATCACAACAATGAAAATGTCAAATGTGTTGCATGAACGAGTTTCCTTCCTCTAAACAAACAACAAAACTGGTTGATATTTTTGCACACCCCTATTAAGCAGTACTTTTTGCTTCAAGTGTTTGAAAATCTACTTTTATAAAGCCAATATCAAATATTTTGTGTGTCCCGTTGAGGGTCTAAGCATAAACAAAGGTCTGGTGGCTCATTCTAACCTGTTTTAAATGCACGTTTGATTTATTCTCCATATTGACCAACCAGTCTATTGCCCTCAATCAGCTAGATACTAAACAACAGAAGCCTATGCAAGATTCATGTATTAAATAGCTGTTTTACTTGTGCTATGAGTTACTAAAAAACTTATTAGTAATTTTCTTTATAATGCAACGCTATAGTTAACTTGGTCTGGAACCTGTTCTGTTGAAAGATTTGTTAAAATAATACTAATACCAAACAATATCTAAGCAATACTAAAGGGATGTTCTGTATGAGTTTAAAATTGTTCTCTTATTTTCACTTATTTTCACATAACTTTGTAGTATTCATAAATGACACATAATAGATTTTATCTTTAGGCTGTCTTCAAACCAGACAAAGCACTTAACTATGCCATGTAATTCATTTGCCTGTTCATCCATTTCAAGTTATGACAACAATCCTTCGACGCTATAGCAACCAAGCAATTCAAATTAAGATGATTTTGAATGAGGAAATATCCTTCAAATCAGGAAAGAAATATTTGCATGAAACCCAAGAATGGTCCTATAATTGTAATGTTTCTCCTTAACAAAGCAACAGTTTAGTGGGCTGTCTTGAAGTCTATTGGGAAAAATTATCCTCCTTGTATCATGTTAAGGTTACATTGAAAGAACTTGAAAGATGTGCATTCAAGTGTGCAGACTGTGGTTTGCAATTTCACTTTTGACCTGGTTGTTTTATGTAGCTACAATAGAAAACATGCCTGATGTCGTACATATCATACATGCGCATCTGACCACACCAGGATTACATCAAATCACCTGCACGACGGGATACATTTACAAGGACAAAATGTGATTATTATCTGACTTCTGGGTCTTTATGATTATTTAAATGAAATGTTAACTGCAAAATCTGATGTCAATAAGAAGAGGGACCATTATTTTGTTGTCTACATGTTGTTTTAATGGACCTTTTAACTCCAAAAAATTTATAATAATCAGATTTTGAGTGCCTTTAATGTTACTGCAGCCAGTGTTACAGTTTTGGAATGAGGTCAGGCTACAAAATTGCAATTACATACAAAAGCAGTGATAGGGGGTAGGTGAAAACTGATTTTTTTTTTTTCTTTTTTCATGCCTCAAAAGCAGGACAAACGGAAACTTTATCAAACTGTTCATGGGTTTCAGCTTCCTGTTGTATGGTGCCATTTTAAGAGCAGTTGACAGTTATTCAAAATTCAACTAAAATGGTTAATTGCTATGGCAACTGTCCTAACTCTTAATCTGAAATTTATAATAATTATTATATGTATATTACATATATTATATTATTATATTATTATTAAGTAACATTATTAGTAGCGTATAACTATAATTCAGTCTTTATTAAGAATACATAATATCTGGTTCATAGTATTAAAAAATTGTATTAAAAAAGAAAATAGTAAGAATAAAAAGGTTAAATACAGTGCATGTTATAACGTATACAGACAAGACAGCCAGTGTCTCCACAGCTTAGAGGTGAATCTGACAGAGCTCCTCACAGGACACACTAGAGCTTCAATGATTCAGTTGCTCAGATTCATGGCTCTGCACATAAATGAATAAATACAACATCTGATAGTGACAGCACAGGGTCTCACACCACAATTTACAAACATTTCACTGGCGCTACAGAACCTCGGCACTTTCAGTAATATTCTCAAAGAGTCACATTCCTAACTTTCATTATTATGACTTTGAAATGTAAAATCAGTTGTTTTTTGCTCTTAATTCAGTAAAAATTTTAAAAAATCCTATATTTGTTTGCAATATTTCCCATTGAATTAGGGGTTCAGTAGACGAAAAGAGGTTTATCCAGCTGCTAAAATGACTTGAGGAGGGGCCTGTGTTGCTTTTGGCAGATTTTTGGGATCAGATTATTCAGCTGCATCTTCAGGACAAGGTTGTGTAACAGGCATCAGCAACAAATTAAACCAAGGCATAATATTTTTTTAATGTCAAGTTTTTGTCTGTTATAGTAGATCGGATTTTGTGTCTTCAGAGTTCTGTAATTTAAAACATGGTGCACTTTTATTCTTTAGATGTTATATTAGACATCAGTTTCTTTCTTATTTAAAGGTTGAAACGTCGTGCACCAGACTCTTGAAATGCAAAATTATCAATAGTTCTCCAAAATAGTTTGAGGTGTTTTGCTGAAGGTCACTTATAAACAAATCAATAAAAACAACTGACCAGTATGTGAGCCTATAAATGTTGTTTTTTACTTTTTTATATGGCGTTATGGGTATCAACTAGTCAACTAATACTATAATAGTGCTAGAAATATCATAATTATAGTTTTAGTCTATTTTATTGGGTCATTGTTTGTTTGTTGTCCAGCTAAAACATCCACTGTGCACTTTCATGTCTTTTCTTGGCAGCACAACTCTAGAGGAAGGAGAAGTGAAAGCATCGAACACAAATACCTCTACTTTGCTGATCATGTTCATTTTGAGATACTGCTCCTTCGCCCTCTCTCCCCTCTTCCTCCATGGACTGCGACTGTAGTGAGCAAACTTTCCAGTAAAACCTGAAACAGACGTTCACATGAGACATTAGGATCTTTATAGAGCCCGTAGATATTATCAGTACAAACATTTTAGCAGCCTGTATATGCCTGTCAAAACATCACACCACAGAGGAAGCTAGCAAGGTAACTCAAACTTCAAATCTTCACCCATATATTGTGTGTTTTCTTCAAAGATTGTATTAAAATGCACTTACGGTTTGTTGCGGTTTCGTTTACCAAATAAAAAGTGTGTAGTTTACTTTTTAGGATGGAAAAGAGACGGGTTTGTGATTTCTTGCTGCGTCTAGCAAAACCTCATGTGACTGTTTAGCTACGTTCTCACGTGACTACGCAGAGATGCTTCAAAGTGGAGAGATAACACGCGTAATCGATGTATGAAATCGAATGGATAAAATTAATGGACAATATTTATTTTATTAGCATTAAACTTGAAATAATGTATAAAATAGAGTCGTTATTTAATCAACAATAATTTGAATCCGTTCAAAAGAAACATTAAAACAAAAATGTAAAGCAGCTACCGGGGCTAAAATAACTATAAGGTGTCAAAGCCTAATACATAAAACTTGTAACAAAATTAAAACAGAATGTGCACATTTTCTTTTTTTTTTCTTCTAAACGTCAGAAAACAAATAGTAGGTTTTATTTATTTATTTATTTTTTAGGAATCGCTTTGTTTGATCTCTTCACTGTAAACAGTCTCTGGTGGTACTTCCGGGTTGAGAAGGAGGCGAGAAGCAGTGAGTACGCACTCCAACATTACGATGACAGTTTTTAGACTAAACAAGACATTAAATTATCAAATCAACACGGTAATTTGTAGGTAAGTTCACTGTGTATTTTTATATGACATAGCATGCTTACGGGATTTCTCTTTTTGTGCAGAAATTGTGTAAAAACAGTGCTAATGGTTACTAGCCTGTTACTGTTTAGCCAGGGTTGTAGGTAAACTTGCGCTCAGCACTGTTGTGTTAAATCTTTTGTGTTTGGTCTCATTATGAGGTCTTTAAATTTCTTGAAATGCTGAAATATACGTTTTCCCCCCTATTAAAATACATTTAGATGCGGACTTTGTAGAGAAAGGTCATTTCTTTCGGCCCAGATCCAAGAAATTTTGCACATATGGAAAGTCTCTCCTCTACAAGATTAAAATTATGACATAACTTCTTTGCTTTATATAAATGTTTTACTCCTTTTATTGCTGTCGCCATCTGTCATAACAGTTTTCTTTGAAAGTAAATAATTTACATTTGTTTTTTTCTTTCTTTATGCATTGGTATGGCAGTGTGTTTTGATGTTTTTGTATGTCAAATTGTTCTCAGAGATTATGTCCATGTATTGTTCCCATCTATTTATATCTGGGTAATCAGGCTCACATGCCCTTTATAATGGAAATTATATGTACACAAGGTGAAATGTTTGTTATCCTGTTTGCTAGGATATTGATTACCACCTTAAGTGACTCTGCCTGACTTTGAATCATTCTAAATCTCCATATTGAGCTATACAGTAAAATTTAGTGTACTTCTAAAGTAGGAATAAAGTGAGAAGCATTAAAAGCATTAATGATTAAAATAATAATAATACAAATGTTATAGACATTAAATCAAATATATAAATGTTCAAGTACAAAATTAACTTCAAACTAGTAACTCATTAAAATAACAAATCCTTTAGGTTGGACTGAGACTCTTAATCTTTTTAAACATGCCCCATGATGTCCACATAACTTTACAATGTTGCATACTGTGTACTAGTAACTCAATCTTGGAACTTAGCCCTTCGTTCTTTTTGTGCTTCCCATTCTACTACTACTAATACTACTAATACTACTAATACTACAAACAATGTTTCCCATTAATAGAGAAGACTATGGTGGCCCCTGATAGCCTAAAAACAATTTGCACTATACATTATTATCACACTTTGTTGCCAATTGTAATATCCTAAACATTTAAAAGTAATTATACCAAAAAAGGCAATTTTGATATTAAATGTAGGCAATAAATGTAATGTATACTCCACAAATTGTATAAAATTGTATACAATTTAAATCAAGATTATTTGTGCCTACATAGTCTTCCCAAAATCTACTGTACTGCACTTTACAAATACTACTAATTCTTCTAATACTTCTGCTGCTACTAGTGTAACTACAACTACTGCCATTACTACCAATACCACCACTACTGTCTTCTACTCCTATTGTTTTCTCCACTGATGTCAAGCTTACCTCATCATGTTTTTTCCCTCCCACAGAAGCTAAATTACACACTTGAGACCTGAGATGCTGTTTTTGTCTCCTTGTGGCCTCCAGGCTGAGATGGTTCAATGATTACCTGAGTGGACACTTCACACTTTTATCAGTTTGACCTCAGTCGCCTTCGTTCACCTGCTTTTTTATAACCATGGCAGGAGGTAGCTTCTTAAGTAAAATGAGGTCCGCTTTCCGAAAAGACAGAAATGACTGGGACTTGAGTGACACAGCCCCTTTTGAATTTTCCGATGAACTGGTGGAAGACGATGGACCAAAATTCAACAAGCTGAGGGTGGTGGTGTCTGGAGAGATGTCGGATTATTCCTCGGGAGTTGCTGGGAATGGGGTAGCGGTGAATACGCTGGTGGTTGGAGGAGCGGACGATGATGATTCTTTGTTGGATGGGAGTTTGGAGAGTCCTGGGACAACCTTGGATCCATGTGAGAACTGCATCAGGAGAAAAGAAAACGTAAAACACAAAAAAGTGATGAAGAGACTGATCATCGCTGCTACGCTTTATTTCCTGTTTATGACTGGAGAAATTATAGGTAAGGCATAAAAGATTTATTAGGAAGATAAGTGTAATCATATTTTTATAACTGTTACTTTATCTGGACTAGACTTTAATACACAGACCAACTTCTTAAGACCCACAGGAGTCAATAAAACACCTTTTTAAAACAAACACAGTGCTATTAATGAATCAAAATATCAAACAGAATAAATAATTTCAGATGATTATACACGTTATTTATAAAATTCTGTAACTTGAAGCTTTCAGACACCATTTTAACCTTTATTTGTTTAAAAATGTGTTTTAAAAAATCATAATGTACAATAGAAAAAATCAATTAAACTACTAAAATAATCATTAGTTGAAGCCCTAGCATTTATTTTAAGGTTAAATTATTGATGTAAAACTGTAAATTTGAATATGGCACTCCTTAATGTTATATGCTATGCCCAAATTGGTATGTTTTCTATTAAAATTAAAAAAAACAACAACATAATAATAAAAACATATAAAACAATCATTAGATAATTCTTGAATCTTATGATGAATGAATAAATGAAAATATAGAATCTGCCAAATATGATCAAAAAGACATCCGAGGCATTCAACAAATAGTGAAATATAATATTATAGCGTAATATGTGAGATACTATATGTATTATAGCTGTCAAAACTTTTTTTTTTTCTCTTGAGACTCCTGGTTGTGACCTGTTAATTATAGAACATTATCTTGTCATAGAGGCATTTTACAGAGCCATTACTCACTGAAATGACTGTTTACATTACTATACTTTATTTAGATCTTTGCATTAGTTACTTGAATTGTGACTGCTTGTTGTCTTACAGTAAATGCTTAAAATAATATAGGTCCACGTTACATCTTATTTCAAAATAACATGTCCTGGTCCTAGAGAAATTGATCATTTTATTGCAGGCAAAATTACATCATAAACCATTTTAAGGCTTTGATGTAACATTTGACAAACATTAGCTTCTGACACTTAAAATCAAAGTTACAGGGCCGTATAAGGCAGTTACACAACACGCAGTTAAACATGGACAGTGAGTAATGCTTAAGCTCACACAGGGCTATATTTTTAGTGATCATTCATAAATGACTGGTTACTTCTCGAAAAACATCTATCTAATAATAGTTTGTGTGAAAAAAATCCACAGTGAACAGTAATTTTACTAACTAACAAAGAAGTGTTACAGTTAAGAAGTAATAATGTATAGTAATAGTTTAAATAATTGATAAATAATTGATAAATTTGTAGAAAAGATAGAAAACAAAGTCCTAATCTGTCAAAACAACATACTATAAAATGTGCAATAGGGGTGAACCATTTGAGATTTAAGTAACTAGTAATTGCAGTTTTTTTTATTAACGTAAGATTATGATTATGTTTTCATAGGATTCTGTTCAAAGTTCACATTTCTCAGTGATAGTTTGTTTAAAAAATGCGAAGTGAACAGTCATTTTTCTAACTAACAAGTAAACATTACATTTAAGAAGAAGTAATGTATAGTAGTAGTTCAAATGATTCAGTAGTCTTGATAAATTTGCAGAAAAGATAGAAAACAAAGTCCTAATCTGTCAGAACAACATACTATAAAATGTACAATTGTGCTGAACCATTTGAGATTTTAGTAACTAGTAATTGCGATTTTTTTTTTTTAATTTTTTTTAGTAAACATAAGATTATGATTATGTTGTCAAAGGATTTTGTTCAAAGTTCACATTTCTCAGTGATAGTTTGTGTAAAAAATGCAAAGTGAACAGTAATTTTTTAAACATTATTGTTAAGTAGTAATGTATAGTAGTGGTTAAAATTATTGTCAAACATTTTCACATATCTGTAGAAACATTTAAGTCCAAAACACCATACTATAAAATGTACAATACTGAGAAAAATATCTACTAGTAACTAGTATGTTTTATTACCGTAGTAGGTTTCTGTTCAAAGTTCACATTTTAAACGCGTCTAGAATCATTGACGAAAAGACTGAAATATGAACTGACAAACTAATGCAAGAGCCACACATTTCAGAACATGTTTGTACAGATATAAAAAACAGGATTAGTAGTTTTATGCAGAAGTAAGCATGATATTTTGTTTGTAGAGAAAACTATAGTACTTAAAAAATTTATCAATCATCCAATTTCTGATTTCGATTTGAGCAGTCGTAATGTACAACAATATTATGTACTTGAAGGTGCACTTTGTAACTTTTCGATTGAGGGTCCATCACCTTCTTGTTTCTATGGATATGTCCTTTCTCTGCTTCTAATGTTCCACAGTATCACATTAAACATATCTGCCTTACATTTTTTCAATTACAGCCAAAAATACCTAGAAAAACGGTCATTTTTACTGTGAGTGGGGTTACCTCTCCACAGATCTGACCTGTAACTTGGCCTGGTTTGGTCTCTGTGATGATAGAAAGTATTAATGCCATACTGTGAAATATTTCAGACAAAGCAATAAACATATCCATGGAGAAAAACAGGTGTCGGACCCTCTAGTAGAAAAGTTACACAATGCACCTTTGAAGGATTTCGTTTTGCTGAGTAGTGGAAAGATCTAAATCTAAATCTAAGCACCTTTTAATTGAAATACAGCCCTACATTAAAATCTTTGAAGTCCTTCTAGTTTATTGAAGCGAGATAACGTTTAGTGACTATTGTAGTGCCATTTATTTAGCTCGCACAAATGTAACAAAAGAAGGTGTGGTGAAAATCTGGATCAACTTCTCAAAACAAGAACGCCACTCCCAAAACCGGGATGATCTAAGGCTGCGTCCACACATGTTCAGCCGCCAACACATCAAAACTGAAACTAAACTAAACTAAGGCCAAAGACACGTCCTGAGGAATGATAAATCGATTGGTAGTTACATATCTCTGTTAAATTTCCTGTAGACTTTCCCCCAAAAATGTAATATTTAAAGTTTGCAAGCTTGTTCAGGGTTAATCAGCTATGTGGAAACTCATGACCATAAGATTTCTAAAGGGCTCTATTCACGCTTTCATCACAAAACCAGAAGATGTTTGGAAACATGCGGATGATGACTTCCTTTGGGCTCTTTTGACAAAATCTGGGAAAACCGAGTACCGTATTTTCTGCACCATAGGGAATAATCCTCATAATCCTCCAGCCTCATCAAAAAACGATTGCACGCCCCACAATCCAGAGCGCCCTATACACGAATCCACTCAGGTGTCCCAGCATGACTTCTGTAAACTACAAAGCCGCACCACCCGCAGCGCACACAAACACACACGAAGCAGACAGCAAACGCGCAACGACAAACACCCGCAGCCACACTCATCACTCTACGCCGATAAGGAATGGAACGGAGGAACGAACCGAAAAAGCGAGTGCAATGTGGCACTTCTATCCACAACTGAGCAACTGAGTCACTGCGAACACGCCAACAATTCAGCGGTCCCAGACAGCACCGTCCCTACGAGCCAAACAAAGTACGACTGACCCATCTAACTGTTGTGTTTCGTTTAAAGTCCGGTGCGGTTTATTTGTGAAAAAAGTTTGAAAATAGACCATTCTATGACAGTGCGCCTTATAATCCAGAGCGCCTTGTAGTGCGGAAAATACGGTAAATGGCCTGTTTTTCTAGATGTCAGTGTATTCTTTCTTTTTTTTTTTTCTTTTATAAATTCTTTATTAATTTGTGTATTATAATTGTCTAATTAAAAAAATAAAATTAAATTGTAGCGACCAGCTGCCTGTAAGTGACATCAAAGGCACGATTAGAAAGTTTTGGCAGGTTGTGAAGATGCTGCTGCTGAATCCACAGTTTTATCACATGCACAGTGTTGGTAACTACACCAGAAGTTGTCACCCACGTGTTTCCTTTTTTTAAATATCCAATATCCAATATCTTTTTTTTTATTTATTGCCCATGCTGTTATTTTGTTGGCATCAATTTAAAGAGAACAACAACAACAAAAATCTGACATTTATCACAAATACATATTTCTACTATATTATTTTATTTATTATTTGTTGTCTTTGCTGCATGAACAAAAGGAACAGGAAGAAAATAAGTCTTATAAACAATGCTCCTTTCACAAATAAAAAAAAATAATAAAAATTAAACATTCCTTTAATAATCAATCCTCACTCCAAAAACCAAACCAAGTCACCAATCAATGAGCCATATGCATGTTACAATATCTCGCTTACATTAACTTTAAACATTTTCCACATAGTCCATCATTATTTTATCCTTGTACATTTTCTTGAATTTAGAAACACTTCTGCACCTTTTTGAATCATGATTTAACAAGTTCCATATCTTGACTCCGTACACAGAGACACATTTCTGTTTTATTGTCGTCCTTAAGAATACAGTTTGGAAAAAAATTATTGTCTTCTACGGTCACAGTCCTCCAAGACAAACGATTTTGTACAAAAGATTTTGTAGAGCTTTGGGCAAATGTCTTAAGATCAACTAAGTCTTTAAACTTTAGACAAACAAACAGATGAATGGTGTGCTCGCTGAATCTCCTTTTGTTGATGATTCGTACTGCTCTTTTTTGCAGCAGGAACAAAGGTTTTATGGCAATTTGACATGCGTTGCCCCAAACTTCTGAGGAGTAGTTAAAATATGGAAGAATTAACTCTCAGTATAACTATAAATATGTGGTAAGCGTGAATACAGCCTATTGTATTTAAAATCTGTTTCTGAAAACTTGATAAACTTAGACTTAGACAAACTTTAGTGATCCACAAGGGAAATTATTTGGACATAGTAGCTCACACATCACAATATAATATAGTAACAAAGCGCAAAAATAAACCATGATTAACCATTATTAACCATTTTGGTAAATCTTTTCTTTTAAATGTGCTTTTTTGACTTAAAACAACTGTGTGATGGATATTAGTTGGCACTTAGCAGGTTATCCAGAATGATTTTGAACTGTTAATTTTTTTTTTTTTTTTCCAAGAGTCTATCGGAAAAAAAAATTAATGGAAAATTTACATCCGGAACCAGAGCAGGAGGTCATTGTTGAGCTCCAGTGCACTCACAAGATGACACCTACCCACGACTTCATGCAAAACTAAATACTAGAAAACACTGTATTTATATGAAGACAGATTAAGCTTGTGAATCATGTGTTCAACACAGTGATTTTTATTTACAAATTTGCGATGTTTTAGCCTGTTTTCTCAGCCTTTGTCAGGCAAATAGTAACTGTATTTACCAAATGAAGGCTAAAGGCTGAAATTTTGCGACTTTGTAAATTAAATCAATGCTGCTGCAAGAAAGACAGCGTGAGAGAGACTTCTGTTTTCTTCAGTTTTATGCATCTGTCCTAAAGTGGGATGTGTGACGGTTTTCTGTTGTAACATAAATACCAAAAAATACCCAATCTACAGCTGCTAACTCATTCACTCACCAAGTTTCCCGTTCTGTAATATATGTCATATAAATCTGCTTATAGTCACATGGTCACATTTTTATACAGCGCTTTTCCACCTTCAAGGCTCTCAAATCACTTTACAGCAAGCACGTTCACTCACACATCAGCGTACACAGACACGGGGTGAGGTAGGTTAAGTGTCTTGCCCAAGGACACACTCTAGTCATAATGTTTCGAGAGCGGGATTTGAACTGCCAACCTTCAGATCAGTGGAGAGTGGATAAACACCAACTGAGCTACTGAACTTGCCCCTACTGTGTGTTGATGAATTGACTAAATGACCAAAGGCTTACAGACCTGACTGCTAGAAACTGAGACTAAACCTGGAACATAACCAAAATTGGACCAGGATTAAACCAAGACTAGAGCGGGACCAAACCAAATCCATATAAGGACTCAAATTTGGTTTAAACTAGGAAGTGTAAATGCTCCCTAAAATATCAGTGTCAAACAGGGACATTAATATCCTATTTTGATCGCAATTTCGATTTGTGTGTCAAACAATCTCCAAACTCTTATAATCGAGTTAAAACGATTAACAACGTTTATTTTGGGATATTTTTTATATAAACAAGTATATTTTAGTTTTTAGATAAAGAGATTGTAGAACAACTGAATATATAGTTTAATTATTTTGGATGCATTTATGTTTTTCTATGACTTATTTCATGTTCAAAGTATATTTTATTCATTTTATGTTTTATACATTGTAAAACTGCTCTAAGGTACATATGAATAACCTATATTTTCAGTTTTCAAAGTTTTGTGTAAATTATCGATAACTTTGAGAGAGAGAAATGCTAAATAAATGCATTGTGTAACTAAAAATATAATAGTTTGAATAATCATGATTTCAGTATTAACCAAAATAACTGTGGTAATGATTTTTTCGATAATTGAGCAGCCATAGCTATAATCATATTCCATGACTATGTTTCAGTATTGTGATAAGATATAGCAGTTTATTTCAGATATTTGTACACCCAAATGTATAAATTTAACTGTATACAATAGATACAATACAATAGATTTAGTTTAAAACCCTCATAATGGACGTCCTCTGTATACAGGAAACACATAATATTTCATTACATATTGTTTATATTTTACATGGATTTACATTTGTCCTGCTGGCCTGTGGGTTCTTCTCTCATCCTGTGAATACTGTTACTCCTGAATATTACGTGGAAAAAAAAAAAAATGGTATGGTGTATAGCCTTTTTAAAACCACCCAGCTTTAAGTCCCAGGTTCAGTGGGGTCTTTCTGTGTGGAGTTTGTGTGTCTGTGTCTGGAGGAGTGATTTTACAGCAAAAACAATCAAAATATTTTACTTTTTTCAGTATTTCAGCAATATTATATTGTTTAATTGGACCTGAACAACAAAATTCAGCATTTTAACAATAAAAAAATTTACAATTTTAGGTGACTCTACCAGGACCAAACCAATGATAAAATGGCACCGAACCAGGATTACATCAGAACTTCTATAGCTCTTTATTAAAACTCTTACAAGACTAAACAAAAGCACTGAACATCTGCTCAGTGTAGGGGCTAAACAAGACCAGACTAAACCAGGAAAAAAACAAGAATAAAATAGATCTTAAAGAACCAAATCTGCCCTAAACCAGGTCTAAACCAGGACTCAACCAGGACGTGACCAGGATTCACCCACAACTAAACCACAATTAAACTCAGCATAAACCAGGTCTAAACTATGACTAAACCATGACTAAACCCAGCTCTAACAATTTTAGCTGGCTTCCTTTTGTCTTAAATATTATTGGCCTATAGAACAAAACCCAGCAATACTACTAATAATAATACATCAGCCAAACATATCATTTAAAATCAAATGCCGCTACTGACTTATAACCCATTATTAGGGTTCCCACAGTCATGGAAATCCTGGAAAAGTCATAGAAATTGAAAATGTCATTTTCTAGGCCTGGAAAAGTCATGGAATTTTAGTGTCTCTTTCACACAACTACAGCATTCTGTTAAGTTATCATTGGGCTGTTATGATTATTTCTGAACGTAAGCACCATTTATTTTAAAGAGACAACAATAAATGCACTGACAGTATTTTGAATGTTAAAAAACTATAATACTAAACCATAATGTGAGTGGAAAGGGTTCACATTTCAGATTTAGGCCTAAAATTATGATCAATTCTACACATGTAGGTGCCGTAAAGTCATGGAAAATTCACTTTAGGTTATGAAAAAGTCCTGGAAAAGTTTTGAGATTTTGTCAGTGAAAAAGAGTGGGAACCCTGCATTGATCTTTTTCTATTTTGATTCATGCTGGGTTAGGATTAGCCTAGTTAGTGAATTACATTTTCCTTGAGTGTCTAATGTTTCTTTTCTCTTCTCTTTAGGTGGCTATGTATCAAACAGTCTTGCCATTATGACAGATGCTGTGCACATGTTGACGGATGTGGTCGGCATTTTGTTTTCACTTTTGGCTCTGTGGCTCTCGACTAAACCTCCGACAAAGAGATTCACTTTTGGACTGCACAGACTGGGTATTTTATTTCACCCACACACAATTTCTCCGTCTGTTAGTACCACTTCCTCTTCAGCGTTCAGTCCGATGTAAATTCATGTTTGATAGTAGATAGTGAAACTGTTTTAATTACAATAGAGCACTGTTTTGTCCATTCAGTAGTTAAGACAGTGTTCAAATAAGTCTTATCTTGGTCAACGGATCACGCATAGCAAAAACTAAGACAAAGCCAGGACTAAAACGGGACTGAACCAAGACTGAACTGGTCTAGACTGGTCTAGTACCAAGCCAAGATTATCTAGGTCATGTCAAAATGAAAATGGTTTACAAGAGCAAAGCTGTCCTTGACTTTCAAAAGATACTAAGACTAAACCAGGACTAAACCAGGGAAATAAACAGATCTAGACAAGGACTAAACAAGAACTAAACTGGGACTAAACTAGGACTAGACCAGGACAAAATCAGGGAAAGAAAGAGATCTAAACCAGGACTAAATCAGGGAAAGAAACAGATCTAAACCAGGACTGAACCAGGACTGAACCAGGACTGAACCAGGACTAAACCAGGGAAACGGATCTAGACAAGAACTAAACTAGGATCAAATTCACATAAAACCTGAAGTCCAAATCACTCCCAGTTTTAAACAGAAGCATCTCAGTAAGTCAGGACTCAACCGGGACTAAATCTGACCCAACCAGGACCCAACCAGGACCCAACCAGGACCCAACCAGGACCCAACCAGGACCCAACCAGGACCCAGCCAGGACCCAGCCAGGACCAAACCAATGACCCAATGATAAATTGACACCGAACCAGGATTACATCAGAACTTCTATTGTTCTGTATCAAAACTCTTATAAGACTAAAAATAAACACCGATCTGCCCAGTGTAGGCGATAAACTAAGAAAATAAACAAGACCAGACTAAACCAGGAAAAAACAAGAATAAAATAGATTTTAAAAGAACCAAATCTCCCCTGAACCCGGATTAAACAAGGCCTAAACCCGTCTGAAATCCAGCCAAAACCAGGTCTAAACCATGACTCGACCATGACTAAACCATGACTAAACCCCTGTCCCTTGCAGAGGTGGTGTCTGCGGTGCTCAGTGTGATGCTCATCTACATTCTGACGGCGGTCCTGGTGTTTGAGGCCGTGCAGAGGACCATGAGCCAGGACTTCGACATCGACGGAGACGTCATGCTCATCACTGCAGCTGTGGGCGTCGCCGTCAACCTCATGTACGTGCAAAAAGAACTAATATTTATGTTTTTACAATAGGAAAATAGGGGCTTTGTTTGTTGGCAAGTCCACCATCCACACCTTCCTTGTTCTTAAGCTGTAAACACAAAATGCAGGTGGCTGGTCCTCTACTTAAGTGCTCCTGACATTTACTTATAGACTTAGAGGTGCACTATGTAACTTTTTGCTGAGGGTTTGTCACCTGCTTGTTTCTATGGATATGTCATTGCTTTGCCTGGAATGTTCCACAATATGACATTAATCAAATCTACCTTACCTTTATTAAATTATAGGTGGTTTTATAGTAATAGAAAACAGGCATTCTGACTCTCCATACTGTGAAACATTTCAGACAAAGCAATAACATCTCCGCACTGTACTTGTGAAATGGAGAAGTCTGTTTTCTCACTGTTTCGCAGCACTACAAACGGTTTCCAAACACATTCCTAGCATCGTATGTATTGGTACATATTGCCTGTGGTGATGTTATATCTGTGTAATCTTTCAGTCATCCAGGTATGTTTCATAATGGTCCATGGGCGTATACTGTGGTCTATGTGCTCTTATACTTCTAAGGTCCATTTCAGGCCTATGAATGTGATTACTTTTAATACTGATTTTGACCCTAATACAGTTTACAGTGTTGCTTCATGTTTGTAAAGCATCTTTGAGTGTCCAAAAAAGCGTTATATAAGTCTGATTTATTATTAGTAGTAGTAGGAGTAGTACTAGTAATAGTAGGAGTAGTACTAGTAATAGTAGGAGTAGTAGAAGTAGGAGTAGGAGTACTAGTAGGAGTAGGACGAGTAGGACAAGTAGTTGGAGTAGGACTAGTGGTAGTAGTAGGAGTAATAGTAGTAGTAGGAGTAGGAGTAGTAGTAGTAATAGTAGCAGAAGTAGACTTAGTAGTCGGAGTAGTAGTCCGAGTAGTAGTCCGAGTAGTAAGGACAGCACACTGCGGTCTACAGTATACCACATAATATGTACTGTGACAAAAACAAATTCTACTTGTCAAAAATGTGGTACAGCCCCTTTAAGACTTTTATGCGCTTGCAAGGAAATATGTTTTGCTGACATTTGGCCAGTGTCTCTGGATAACATTTCCAGTGCAGGGAGGACACATCTCCAAAACTTTAGCAAGGATCATGTATTAATCTTATGAGAAAATTGCCATATACTGCTGAAGTAAATACAGACGATAAACAATAAAACTGAAACTAATTTATGGCACCAACACAAAAAACCAAGAGCAGATTTAGACCACAAAACTATTCTAAATCTACAATCTTGTTAAAAAATTTAGCAACAAATAAAATAGCGGAATGAAATACTTTAGTACTTAGTTTGCGTCTGTAATCAGTCATAGACGTTTTTTAATTCAACTTTTTACGGTTTAAATCTCAACATAGAGCCAAAAACTAACCACAAATGTGCCAGTAGTGCAAAGAAAACGTACACACGATAAATACTGACCCCAAAAATGTATAGCTTCAGCCTATTGAACGATAAATCGATATAGTAATTATCGTGACAGACCTCTCTCTGTAGAAACAATAATCTCACTATAATAATAATAACTTTACTTATGGACCACATTTCTTTGCTTTACATACAGTTAAATAAGCAGATATAAGGCATACATTAAAGACAGTAAAATAAACTGACCTCCTCTCATGTTTTTATATACATCAGTAATCTTCTGTTATTGTGTTTCGGAGTATGTTTTACTTTTATATAAAAAAAAAATCTGCTTATGCTTGAGAAAGTCTAATGTGCATTCCTTTTAATGTACGTAAAATTATCAAAAAGAAATAATCTCACTGACCTCCTCTCTCTGTAGAATGGGTTTCCTGCTGAACCAGAACGGGCACCTCCACTCCCATGGTCATGGTCACGGTCACGGTCACGGTCACAGTCACTCTCACGGCCCGGCGGGAGGGCATGTCTCTGGGGCAGAGGCGCAGCAGAAGTCCCACGGGAGTCTGGCTGTCCGTGCGGCCTTCATCCACGCTTTAGGAGATCTGCTCCAGAGCGTGGGGGTGCTCATCGCTGCATACATCGTAAGATTTAAGGTCAGTTTTGTAGCTTTTTCACTATGTTTTTTAAGATGAATCGGCCTGAGTGGTGAGTAAAATGAGGTATAAACAAAACTAGATGAATCACTTCCATGGGAATCTACCATAACAGATGTACAGTCTCAGCTACGATGTTCTGTAAAACTGACTGGACCTCACACAGATTAATAGGGAGAGCACTTTTTATAGCAATTTTCTTAAAATGCACTTTGCAGATTTGACATTTTTGTATTTGATTTTTATTCAATGTCCGTGTTCAGCCATACTAAATCTAATAGAGTGATTACAAATTCCACCTCATCTGGCTAGTACTCGCACCTCATAGTAGGTAGATTCTTGGTTTGATGCTCTATATCAGGGGTTATCAAACTAAGGCCCGTGGGCTGACTCTGGCCTGCCACGCGCCTTTGCCCCTTTGATTTTTTTCAGTTAAAAATGTATATTTATATGAAGTATTTGTATTTTTGTTTAAATAATTATATGATGTGTTCACATTTGCCGCCGAATTTTCGGCATCTGACAAGCTCGAGACTAACAGTGACAGTGAATGCCACGCGCAGAGTTCTGTAGTGCAGTTAAGGACAATGTGACCAGTGTGGAAGTATGAAAAGTTGACAGAGTGCAGAGTTTTCAAAGAACAGCGGACGACCGATTATTCTTTTATTCAGTGTAAGGACCATGCAATTTGTCTGATATGTAAAGAAAGTGCAGCAGTTTTCAAAGAATATAATCTGCGTCGTCTGGGTCATACAATTCTGTTATACGGCCCCGACCTGACCCGGCCCCCATCAGTCAGGAGCAATAACGTGGCCTCCAGAGAAAAAAATCTGATGACCCCTGCTCTATATATTCCCTGCTGTGGGTTTCAATATAAAATTTTTGAACTAATCTTTATGACTGACGACATGAGTCAGCTTGTATTCCTTTCCAGCAAATATGGAAAAAAATACCAACAAATCAGTCAAATTAGGTTTTTTTCTAATCAACTAAAACTGTATTTCTCTTTCTCTGTTTTCCTAGCCGGAGTATAAACTGGCCGACCCCATTTGCACCTATATATTTTCAGTGTTGGTCATTTGCACTACATTCCGTATCATTCGAGACACGGTTGTCATTGTACTTGAAGGTAAAACTCAGTTAATTTCCTCTAATATATAACAGCAATATTAAAGGTCCTATATTACATAAAATTGACTGTTGTGAACTTTGAGCCATGTTATAATGTTGTTATCTCCTCAAAAACAGACCTGAAATAGTTTTCTTTCATTCACACATGTTTTAGTAATTCTGAATTATTAGTCTGTCTACACCTTCAAAGCTCAAAATGCTCTGCTCCACTTTGTGATGTCATGTAGTGGTAGTTTTCAAGTTAACATCTACCTTTTACCTTTTAGTTTAGTAGTGATGGGCAATTCCAAGGTTTGAAATTATCCAAGAGACAGAGTTGGTGTGTTAAACATGTGTGAGTGAAAGAAAACACAACTCGTAGTACTAGTATGTTTGTGATGAGGAAACAACATCATAACATAGATCAGAAAATGGAGTAATATGGGCCTTTTAAAGTCATTATGTTACATTTAGAGACTCTATTATTCTGTCTCGTTTCAGGTGTCCCACGGCATTTGGACACGCAGCGAATCAGAGAAGAGCTTCTGAAACTCGAGGATGTCCAGTCTGTGGAGGAGCTGAACGTGTGGGCTCTGACCGCAGACAAGACTGCAGCTTTAGTGCATCTACAGCTCAGTGAGTCACTCCAACAACACAGAAATCAGTTAACATTTATAAATCCAACTAACACCACATACTTTTTTTTTTTTTACTATAATTAATATCATTGTAGTTTTAAGGTTCATAGCAGCTCCAACCAGCATCCTTCTAGTTTTATTATTTTAGTTTATTTGGAGAACCATGTACAGACTGGCCAGCTAAAAATGTATATTTCTAATGCTTTTTGAAGAAGTGAATCTGGTCACCTTTGCATCTCTCGGAATTCAGGTGGGTTCATGAGGGACAGGCATAGTATCCATATCAGATCAAATAATGCTTCTTGCCAGAATAGAGAAAGGAAAAAATATCACGGTACTGAAAAAGCCTCACAGATTTCTACAGAATCAATGAGCAAAGCATTAAACAGGAACTGCTAATCTGAGGTGAGGGAAGTTTTATTTCGTTTTAAATGATAGATGACAAATTCGAGTGTTAGACTTTTAACAACTTGAAATGAGGATGCAAACATTTTTAACTTCCAATGCATCCTTATGCATCCTTTTGCATCCCTCTATACCCAGACCTAGTTAATTCCCATCTGCAATACCTGAATTTTCCTCTGCAAACCCTGAAACACACAAAGACATACAAACCTGCATTATGGATAGACGTAGTTTAGTGTGCCTGTTCTCTAATACAAAGGTCAGTGGTTTTAATCCGACTTGATATAAATCATAAATGTCAGATCCACAGGCCCACACGCTATGATCTGTGGAGAGGCAACCTCACTCACAGCAAGAATGTAAATTTTTCAAGTTATTTATGAGCTATGAAAACACCTGTAATTGAGTAAATGCAAGATGGACACAATCTCTTTAATAAACAAAAGATAAAAGGTAGCTGTTAACTTGAAAACTAGGTTAAACAAGATGGAACAGAGTAGTTTGAGTTTTGGAGCTGTAGACAGACTAATAATGAAGTGTTACTCAAACACAAAACACAACTCCAGGTCTGTGTTTGAGGAGGTAACAACATTCTATCATGGCTTAAAGCTCAAAAGGGTCAAGGACTTTTGAATACATAACAATACATACATAAAAAATTCATAACATGACTCATTACTGTCTGGTTTTCTTTGTCCACAGCTCCCTCTGGTGCCACAAACTGGGAACAGGTCCAGTCTAAAGCTCGTCACTTGATGCTTCACACATACGGCGTCAGTCGGTGCACGATTCAGATCCAAACTTACAGAGAACAACAGAACTACAGCTGTACGAACTGCCTGCCCCCCACAGCATGAGGGCGCTGTGGAGCTGAACTTTACATTTAACGCACTGTACTTCTATCAGCTGTTTCTACTGGACCAGAGTAGAAGACGCTTGCAGAGATGGTGCCAAAGGATGAAAAACTGTGGCAGGTTTGATGAATAAAAGCTGTTTTGGTACATAAAGGTCTTATGCTATACTGCTTAGCTTTGAGCAACCCAGTCACCACTTCTAAACACATGGCAAAGGGAATCAATCATGCTGCCACCATGCTGCCACCAGCTAAACGATTTCACAGTTTATACAGCAAATGTTAGTTTCTACAGTGCCAAGTGTTCAGACTGGTCATATAACAATAACATGTTTTAATACCTACAGCTATTATTGGATTGTTTAACCTCGCAGCCCGATTTAAACACAACTATAAACTTGAACAATATGAAATTATATTGAACAAAAATCAGTATTTGCAAATCTGACATTGTAGCAGATCCCTCAATGTGAAATTTAAACAGTATTTACCTTAGCAGAATAAGCTGTGTGCACATCAGAACACTAGCTCGCTCACTGTGTCTAAAAACGTGTTTTAGATAAAATAAATAGATTTTTTGTATTGATTACTACAGTTTGCGTCATTGTTTTAATAGTTATTATCCTTCAAAAATAGCATTAGATTAAGATACAAACATATCCTTTCCTGAACATAGGAGTGTCCTGGTGAAGTATTCAATCAGGCTGCTGGGGCTGTTGTGCACAGATCCAATCATCTATTTCCCATGTTTTGTTTTGGTGACTAGGTTGTAGCTAAAACCAGGGGGCGCTGTTGTAAACCTGCTGAAGAAAGCTGTGTATCTTGAAGCTCTTTAATCACCACAGAAGCCTTTTTTCCACATTAATTTTCTTTTGTACTTTTAATTTTCTTGAATGTTAAGTTGTTTTTTACTAGGACCGTGAGCTATGAATGACTTATTAATTTACTAAAACTATCTGCACTTACCTCATGCCACAAAAGTAAAAACTGATGCAATAGTACTGGTTCTGATCGTCAGTGTAACGAGTGGATCACTGAATGACTTCAACATGTTATTACATATTGGGTAGTTGGATCCAGGTGCTTTACAATTTTATCTTTTCATTCACACAAGAAGCAAAGTGATTGTTCTACGGCACAATGGCAGTATGCTATTTAGGTACTGGTTGGAACTGGGATTGGACCAACCACCTTCTAGTTAGACGACTTTTACTTGAGCCACCTGAGCCACTGTTGCCCCAAACAACTATTAAAGGTGTACTATGTAACTTTTTCTGGCAGAAGGTACGCTACCAGATTAAGGTACAGGTCAGATGTGTGGAGAGGCAACCCCACTCAGTAAGAGGTGTTCAAGGTGTTTATGAGCTACAAAAACACCTGTAATCGATTAAATGCAACATGGACTCAATGAATGCGATTCTGTAGCACATTCTAGGTAAAGGAATAACATCTCCATGGAGACATGCAGCTGCCAGATCCTCGCCTGTAAAGTTACATAGTGTTCTTTAAATGAGTTGGTGAACTGTTCATTCGGGCTGACACAAAAGAAACACCAGTGTATTCCTCCAAAGTCTGAACTCTGCTCCAAACCACAGGATTTTATTGACAAAGGATTGGCTGTAGAAAGACCTAAATTGATCATTGACAATTAGAAATGACACTTTATTCAAATATTTATTCAAATAATTAATTAATTGCACAGACCTGCTTCTGTGTACACCTGATTTTGCAGTCCTTTGGTCCACTGGTTTATATTGTCAGTATCAGATTTACCAATACAAACCCAGCACACTTTAATCTGCCCCTTTGTTATAACACTATCAATTATTGTAACACTTAAATGACTCTTAATAAAGCATGAACAAAGGCTTACGTAATGGACAAATAGTTTATGAAGAATGATTCATGGTTAACATCAAGGTTTATTTATATACAGAACATTTAAAAACACAATACTGCCCCAAAGTGCTTAACAATATAGACAAAAATACACAAGTAAATAAATAAAAGATATACTACTACATATAAACACAATGAAATTAGGAGGTTAATAACATATACAACTATAGAAAATCAAGTCAAGTCAAAAGGGACAGTAAAAAGTGTGCGATTTAAAATTTTCAGGCATAATTCATATCCTAATCTGTTAATTAAGTAGTTACTAAGCCTGAATCATTGTTAATTAACGGTTTGTTCTTTATTAATTAAGTGTTATTCATGCTTTACTAAGGCTGATGTAGATATTTTAAAGTAGTAACTCAGTATTTTGTCCGTTTTCTTTGACCAACTCATTACTGACTTTTCTTTTAACTATAGCAACTGACAATCACAATAGCTGACTTTTAACTTTACTTAACTGGGAGAAAATATGGGATGCCCAGTTTTTCAGACCCAGTGTTTTTAATCAAAAGCTGCTGTGCATTAAAAAAAGTGGTAACTGGTTTGAAGGAGTGAAAGAAAGTTCATTATGAACTCTGTCAGAAAATATTAAGAGTAAACCTGGAACTGGAATTTTGTTTTGTAAGGAATAAAGTATTTAATCTGATGTGTTTTACAGTTTTATATGTGTATGTTTATTTATTTATTTATTTTATTTTTTTTTACAACAAATGCCCTTCCTGTTGCTGCCAGCGACATATAAAAGGAGTGATGGGGGAGAGTCCACCTGACAGAACTCATGTGAAGTCCTGTTTTAGACTGGGTTTAGACCATAGACTTTAAAATGGACTAAGTGACCTCACCTATAGCAAAAAAACAACAACAAAAAACAGAGCCACAAACGAAGCAATGTGATCTACTCCATTCAGTGTAGTGAAAACTGCAGTGAGTGCTGCATTGGAGAAATGAAAAGGTCACTCCACAAGAGGATGTACCAACACTGACGAGAGTGCAACACTGGACCTCAATCTGCTGTACATCTTCACCTAAAAGCCAAAGGCCAGTCTTTTGAGGACAATGAGGTTCAGATCTTAGCCAGAGAAAAGAATTGGTTTGAGAGGGGAGTTAAAGAGGGTGTTTTTGTTAGGAAAGACAATCCTTCTTTGAACAAAAATGGAGGGCTCAGACATCATCTGTTTAATATTTATAACTACATTCTCAAACCTAAATCAAAACAAAACCAATACCTCTGGACCAGGTCAGGTCCATCAGCTTCATTATGGGCCTCATTATGCTAATATGATTCCCCACTCAGTGCAGTTGACCTGGCTTTTCAACAAAAAAGGGGAAAGCGAAAAAGTGCTGGATAATGCTAGCTGCTTGTAACTGCAATGTTTTCCACCCATTTTCTTCCGCTTATCCAAGGCCAGGTCGTGGGGGCAGCAGTCTAAGCGGAGACTCCCAGACTTCCCAGAAATGTTATTTGAGAGGAAATTCTTTAACAATAAAAAGCAGTTTGCTTGTTGTAGTTCAGCTATGTCAGTTGTTTATGGTCAGATTGTGTTAAAATAACGATTGAAGTTAGAACTTGAGTAACAAAGCAGAACCTAGGTAGGATCACATCCCAATGTATATGTAGTATATGCAGTTTATGATTCAGAGTGGGAAAATTTTAAACCATTGCCGTAGCCAAGACCTAAAAAAAACCCTCAATAAACAGGAAAGTTAAACACACAAACATTTACATAGGGAATGTTGTATACGCACTCATACATACTCAGACAAAACAAAATGGAAAAATAAACGGCAGTAATATCCAAACATGCACTTTCCATGGTCGAAGCTGTAGTCTTACTCACTTTTGTCACAAGATGGAGCTGTTGTAAAGCTTTGGAGGAGGTGGAGATACATTGATAACAGGACACACACACAATATTATACTTTGCGTTACAGGCAGTGTTGGGAATACATGTTCTGAATACAAATCAAATTTTTAGTAACTATTCCAGTTACTCTTTCATTTGGTGATATTCAGAATAGAGTTAACATTACTTTTCTAAAATTAGATGACTACACTGTGATATTTGACTGCACATAAAATGAGAAAAATAGAAAACACCACTCTGGTCTTGAAAAGCTTTCGTAAGTGCTGGTTAGATATAGAGATATAGTAAATAATGCCATACTGTGAAACATCGTAGGCAGATATCGCCATGGAGACCAACATGTGCAGTACCTTCAACAGTAAAGTTACACAGTGCACCTTTAAAAAACACTTCCCAATAACTATAGAGGTCCGTGTAGCCACTGTAATAAAAAATATCTGAAGTACTACTGTAGTTCTAATTGAAGTTCTACTGTAGACTTGTGCTTCTTATAGTTAATGTTTAGTATTTCCTCTTCAGCGGTTGTCACGGGGATGGGGCCGTCCCAGTTTCTAGGCAACACAGGTGTATATTTGCACTAAAAACCCGCAGGGACTTTACACTGTGTTTATTCTCTACTGGTTTATGAGCTTATCAACTGCAGCACATTCACATATCATACTGTCCACATTATACTGCCCCTCCCACTTTCACTTTACAGCTTTTAATACTACGAAGCCTTCCACAGTGAAGACAGATCTAAAATACATGAGCCACTGGCCTGTTTTTGAGTACCACAGTGGTCAAATTAAAAATATTTAACTTGATTTCACTTGACAAGTATAACAACTCTTTTTCTTAGTTCAAACAACATATGATTTAGTTTCTTACTTTTAAATACAAAGAGTTGATGTGTTTTTATCTTCAGTGTTACTAGATGAAGTTGCAAAAGTCTTCTTCCATGGGTAGATTTTATTTGTCATGTGAAATTTACTCAGATCAATATTACATCTTTAATTCAAGTCATTTTAGAGATTTGTAGCGTGGTACTTGGACAACTCTTCATTCTGTGGGTTTAGCTGTTTTGAGTTAACTTTATCCACTTTGTCCTTCTTCACAGAGGTGGGGACTTGCGAGTCGTGATTTGGACTCGAGTCAGACTTGAGTCACTATTTTTAGGAGTTGAGACTTGACTTGATAAAATGGACTAAGACGTGGGAATCGACTTGGACTTGAAGGTCAGTGACTTGGGACTTACTCGGACTTGTGGCCTGTGACTTGAGAAGACTTGAAAAGAACCATGACTTAAAATAAATAGACTAAATACCATGATTTTTTAAGTACAGTTTAGTTTTTCATATAAATTGCAAAAATCTAAGCTATATTTGGTACTTTAGTTTAAAGATTTCAAATGATTTGAAGCTCAAAGCAGACGACTTGGACTTTACTTGGACTCGTGGGCCAGTGACTCGAGACTCGACTTAGACGTGCCTGTATTTGACTTGGGACTTGACTTGGACTTGAGGTCAGAGACTTGAGACTTAGGTGAGACTTGCAAAAAGGATGATTTGGTCTCACCTCTTCTTCTTCGGGTCATTTTTTGTTTTGTTTAGAATTACAGCAAAAATGATGTACTCAACATTTAGACCTGGTTTAGCCCTAGATTAGACCTGGAATAGTCCTGTTATAGTCCCGGTTTAGACCTGATGGTACTCGATATGGTGGTATCTATTATTATTCTTTGTTGATAGGGCTACTTGATGTGAAAAAGCCTCTGTACTGGCATATTGTCCCTGAATTGTAGGCCTATTCCATCTAGTTTACTTTCATGATGGGGAAATTACACAGTATTTTATTGACTTAGATGATTAAAGTTGCTTTACAACATCATTATTCAAACTTGGGCGAGGCTAATCGACAACTTCAACACTTACTCACACACCACATTTATATTCAAGCTGGTTGAAGTGTCTTGCCAAATGACACAACAACAAACAGAAAGATTGCATCTGATTTTGTATGCACTGGATCAAAACTGCTTTGCATTACAAACTACAAATCCACCTGCAGTGCCCAGTTTGTCCTCGTGGTGGCGCTGTTGTGTTACGTGCCTGTCATTGAAGCTTTGCACTACCTGCTGCTGGTCACGTGGTCCCATTGACAGCTTCAGTCACGTACACAGATGCCTGCACTCTTTACCATAGTCTCCTTCCTCTCATGTATTGTGACTTTAAATAAACAAAATGACACACTGAAGTGATAAGTGTGAACCGCCTCAGCTCAATCACACTGTCAGATATAAAAAGTGTGCTTTGGCCTAAATTTCTGAATGCACACAAACTTTATATAGACTCACTTAAATACTAAAATAGAATTATAGATTATACAAAAATACAACATTTCCTTTTTAAATCGCATGTATCACTCTAGTTTCTCATCTACTGTCTGTTTTTTGTTTGGTTTCGTTCGCACATGTTTAACACAAACCCTGTATTTAGACTTTAGGGTTGTCTGTTCCACCTTGTGATGTCATGTGATGATACAGGAAGTGCTCCCTTGTGTTTTTAAACTCCACACACAATACATTCACTAGAATAATTTAGATAATTTCAGCCCTGGAATCACTACTCTCTACTGAACTAAAGGTAAAAGGTTGATATGTAAAAACAATCGCTTCATGACATCACAAGGTGGAACAGAGCATTTTGAGCTTTGGCGATGAAGACAGACTAATAATAAAGGGTTACTCAAAGGTGCGAATGAAACAAAACACAACTCCAGGTGTGTTTTTGAGGAGATAACAACATTATAATATGGTTTAAATAGCTGTTATTGTCAATTACGTCTTTATATTTTCTTGTATTAATGATACTGATGTCCAGAATCTTAATACATTCTGAAGGTTATAAAATAAAAGAGCATTTAAATTTAATCTTATTCTATTTAATCTCTTTTAAAAATCTGAAATCATCCCAAATACTTGAAACCATGAAACACTAGATAATATTGCAAATGAGAAATTCAATTGTGTCAACTTGACAAACGTTTTTTTTTTTTTTTTTTTTTAATCAAATACATTTCGCTGCTCATCCTTCAGTCATGTTGCTGATGGGCCTGCCTAAAACGACTCTTAAACTAATACACCTACAGTATATTAGTATTACACTTCACCAATCACTCAATACACTCTGCTTTGAATAGTAATTGGACCTTCTTTAATGACACAGTTGGCTGTGCGCCTGCGTTTACTTTAACTGTGTGTCAAAGAGTAATCACCAAAATCAATACAAGCTGAGCTTATGTCATCAAGTCATCAATAAGTAGGTTTAGACCAAATGGAGAGCTTTAGAGCCTTCATTAGTGCACTATTTAACCTGGTTTTACCTCAGTGAATTGTATGGTAGTATACAATTATTTTAGTTAACCTGCATGTGTTCAGTTGCAGGTGTTTTTATTGTTGGAAAAGTGCATTCTTACTTGTGTCTCCTCAGATGCCCTGTAACTTGGCCCAGTATTGTCACCTGCTGTCTCCATGGAGATAATTAAATGTTTAAAGTTTAATGCCATGCTGTGGGACATTCTAGGCAAATCAGTAACTCCATAGAGACAAGTTGGTGGTGAAAAAGGGCCCATATGAAACTATTTTCTGATCTATATTATAGAGTTGTTTCCTCATCATTAACAGACCTGGAGTTGTGTTTTGTTTCATTTATACAAACTCTGCATATTTAGATATTTAGAGTTCTTCTCTCAAACAGGAAACACTCTGTTACACCTTGTGATGTCATGTGGTAATACAGGAGGTGCTCCACT